AATTAACTAACTACAGGTGTCCAAATCCCCAAGTGCCCAAAACTCAAAATAAAAGCATAAAACAACTTCTTCAATTAACTTTAATTACACACAAAGGTAACATATACAATAAACAAAAACAGCAATATATAGCTCCAACATTCATCATGTCAAAACTTTAATTTGTCTAATACTTGGAGACCAATAACCTGGAGAACTAATGACATGTGCATTAGCCATATCTCTATTTATCTCTATTGATAATAATCAAATGTTAGCATGCCAACGCGCTAAGATTAGATGGTGATAGCGTTGTCACTGTTAGCTTGTTAGCATCGTACCTCAAAACATCCCAGTGTCTTAGTGCAGCGTCACAGAGCTGCTAGCACGGCTGTCATGTTGTAATTGAAAACAGTGCGCATTAGCTAAGAAAAGGTCATCCTGAGTGCCACTTTGAAATATAGAAGAGCAACACGACAGTATGAATTGTTCTCAAAACCGCTCTGTTTGAACACAGAGTCACTTTACATAAAAAATGCAAGCATTGAAAATTACGATGACTTATTAATCCACTGAATGTAACGTCTGACTCGATCCCCTTTGTCACATTCTGACCTCCCCGTGCAGCCGTAATGGCGGCAGTGTAGCGCTGTGTTTTAAGTGCACACAGTGAGAAGAGTGTGTGTAGCATCAACATCAGCAGCAGCGGAGTGTGTCGGGGTGTGTCTGCGGCGGGACGAGCGGACCTGACAGGCCGAGGCTCATTAAAGCGCCGCCACGCGAGGAGGTCAAGACAACAGCTCGGCGACACTCCGCCGCCTGCATGCAGACACACATACGCCCCAACAGAGTTTTATTTTTAGCCTTTTAATCATTCTGAGAAATCTTTAGATAAAGCATGAAGAGACTTAAAGATGGCTTATAGATCTGTTGTTCATGGTGGATGGATGCACATGGGAGTTTGTTGTGTGTGATTGGATGGAGAAAGATGCTTGTGATTCTCGTGACACACTTAATGCAGGCTGTACTGCTGCAGGTGGACCGTGAGGCTGCAGAAGGCTTCACAGAGGGGGGGGGGGGTTGGGGGCGTTGTTTGGCAAGGGTGAAGTGATACACATCATTTCAGGTGGAAATACACTGGCTCTACTTGTTGTAGTCCTACTACTTATCTGTTTTAGTTTAATAAATACAGAAGATTAAGATCACTCAGACTATTTTCATTATCAACCAAGGGGTCCTCCAAACTCTGGCAGTACACCTACCTATTTCAAGTACTGGATTACAAATGAGTATTAACAAACATTTACCTGTTAATGATTCTTTAAATTGGATGTGGACTCCTTGGATAATGAGAGTATATAAACAGCTGGAAGGCACAGCATGCATTTAACAAAGTGATCGAGAAATGTCCACCCAGTGAAAGCATTCTTTGAACCAGAGGCCATGATGATGAACTGGGAGATTAGCTATGGTTTCACGAGAGACTGTTTCACTAATTGTTCTAAGACTCATCAAGTGTTGTAATGGCAAGCTTATGCATCATAATATATCGTTGTTTATAAAGTGGTGCATGGATGATGTATTGTTGTAGGCCAACCCGGAAGTTAGCATCCCAAAGGTTCCCTCAACAAAAATAATTGGGATTTTTCCATTGGATTTTGGGTTAATCGCGGAAAACAAGACCTGTGGAAAACACACATTTATGATATTTACACATTTTGTTCATCAGGATAATCACATATTAAAACCAATTTCATGATTTCTAAAGCTGAAATGCAATCTCCGGGGAAAAAAGCTAACGTTTAGCTATAAAGGAACTACTTTACGTCACCTCCGCTAAGCTAAAGGTGGCTAATGTTGGGCTATAAAGGAACTACAGCACGGTCACATGGCTTCACTTCAGACCTTATTTCAGGCTAACAACCGAAAACACATTCAGAAAACCATTGACTTTGAGACTAGTGAACAGGATGTGGTAATAAACTGACTAATATCCGGGTTTTAGGACTCATTCCTAGACCACTCTCTTTTGAAATGTATTGTACAATGAAATCCTTCTAGTAATCCCCATTTTGCTTAAACATACCTGTAATCTGATTACTTATTTTCTTTTTTCTGTAACTGTAAGGGAATACCGATCCTATTTTTGTATCCATATTTTCCGCTACTCCCCAATCCCGTTGTTTGATTGCGTTTCATTCAACGTGTGAGAACAACAGTGACTTTCCCTTGGTTTTTAACCGAGACTGAAATGGAAGTTGTGTTTATTTGGGTTCTCGGTGAAACTCTGACTCATGTGGCCCGAGCTGAAGGTCAAAGTCGTGAGTCCTGTGCCGACCTCAGGCTGTGTGGCGCCTCTCCATCTGCACCCGACCTCCCTCTTTTTCTCTCAGAGTGTGGGACAAAAACACATACAATCCATCTGTATTTAGTTACAGTCTATTTCTGTGTTTCATCCTCTAATCTCCCTCCACTCCCTGGCTTCCTCTTCCTCATTTATCCCTCTCTGTTTATAAAAAGCCATAAGGGACCCCTTCTTTTTGGCTGAGCAGTAAAGAGGTTCCCTGTCAGATGTGCCAGTCTGCTGCAAAGGATTAGTTATATCCTGTCTGTCTGTCCCTCTTTGAAGCAGCTTCATTAGACCCAGAGGTGGAAGTAGTGAAGTACAAATACTTCGTTACTGTATTTAAGTTTTTCTTGTATCAGCATATTTTGTAATGCACTGACTTTGACTCTTTTTCCCATGACGCAAAATACATAGATGTGGAGCAATCGGTCTTGCCAACATTCATTTGACGGTGATTCGAAAGTGTTAAAATTGATATTGTTAGTAATTTCATTGGATGTTGTAGTATTTAAATCTTGTTCTGTGCTTTGATCTGTCTTTACATTAGTTGGTGTCTAAATGAGACGACTAAACGTCATCACGACCAACATTAGCCGCCTTTAGCTTAGCGGTGACGTGAGGTCATGTGACCGTGCTAGTTCTTTATAGCGTAACGTTAGCTTTGAACTTCTGGAGATTTAATTTACGCTTAAAAAAATCATTCAAGCGGTGAAAATATGTATGTAATATTCTGAAATCCAATGTAAATATCCCATTGGCTTTTTGTGGAGAGGATTCTGTACCCTGCCTTTTTGTGTGTGTGTGTGTGTGTGTGTGTGTGTGTGTGTGTGTGTGTGTGTGTGTGTGTGTGTGTGTGTGTGTGTGTGTGTGTGTGTGTGTGTGTGTGTGTGTGTGAAGGTGACAGCGTTGTATTGACAATGTCAGAGTGGCATCGTCCGCTCTCTCTGGACATCTCAGCTGTCACGCCACTGTCGACTCAAACAAGTCTACACGATGTCAGCTAGATCCCACACACACACACACACACACACACACACACACACACACACACACACACACACACACACACACACACACACACACACACACGCTCCCCGGGACAGTAAGCAGTATATAGAGGGATCTGGAGTCCTGGAGAATACAAACTCTGTAATTATTCATTGTCCAAGAAAAATCCATAAAAATCTATATCAGTGTGGAAGTATTGTGCTCCAGTGTAGCTGTTGTTCTGCAACACCTGTCGAAACGTGTGTGTGCCTCCAACGACCCGTACCTTCATCGAGTTCAAACTAGATATTCCCATGTGACTGTGGATGGGCAGGACTGTGCACTAACTCGTGTGTGTGTGTGTGTGTGTATGCGTGCGTGCGTGCATGCGTGTGTACATGAAAACACATCGTCAGTGTGCAGCGAGCGCCGAGGCATGAGGGAATTTATTCATCTTGGTTGGAGAGTCATGTTCTGTGCCGCTGTGTGTTTGCACACAACAAAGAATTAAACGGTTCCCATGTGTTGTGTTGTTGCTGACTTTTAAAGCTGCCAGAGTAAACATCCATTATGTGGAATTATTTATGACTTCAAGCCAATTGTGAACACTGCAGCTCCACAGACTTCAGACATTGACAACTGACAAAGGTTAAATAACAAACCAACCTTCACAGGGGTTCCAGCTTGTTATGTCATTTATTTATATTTATTTTTTACAATGTATTCATTGACTTTTCCAAACATAGATCAGTTAACAGGAGAAATACGGAGTACAGGTATAGTCTATGCAGAATATAACAAGTACAATCTACTCAAAATTAGCTTTAAGTTTGTTTCATTTTTCAGCAGTAAGGCAATTCAAAGTGCATTATAACAAATATTAAAAGCATTAAGACAAGGTGCAATTACACTCATTAGAATACCAAGAGAATTATTAAACAATACTAGAAACCTGATAAACTTGAATAAGCCAAGTAATTGCATTATTTGGCGTGTTTAAATGTACTTGCATGATTCTTTTTTCCCCCGTATCTTCATGGCAAGCAATATACTTTACAGCTAACAGGGGAGATGGAGATGACATGTGTTAACATATCAAATATATATAATTCCAATTACATAATATGTCGTTACAAAGCTGATGCAAGAACAGGTGCTTTTAGTTTGCTTATTTACTGTCCATGTTTCGTTTGAACTCTTGGGACAGGATAGTAGGATAGTGTTGCAGAAGATCAGAAATGTAATTTGTCTCTAAACACCAACAGTAGTATTTTAGACTCAGGGACAGTTTCATCCCTCAGGCCATAAGACTGTTAAACACCTGAACTTTGGAAAGAACATCCATAACATTCATCTGTTTGCTACTTATATCAATATTCCAATTACTTGTAGACTATTCTGCACTATTTCTATTATATTCTATTTGAATTGATTTACTTACACTATTGTATCTGTGTTATTGTGTTGCGCTGTTGGAGGAGCCTGTGACCTAAGATTTCCATTGTCATAACTACACTGTAGCTATGTACACATGACAATAAAAGCCTTGAATCTTGAATCTTAAAGTCTCTGACAGACAGGAAGCGAGTGCAAAGGGAATCTCAAACCCAGTGTGTCACCTGTTCTGTAATCAACACCTTCCTGTCTCACACCTTGTGCTCCTTCCTGTTTGATTTCCCCCCCGCAGCTCCTTCGCCATGTCTAAGACGGCGGTGAAGAAGCTGCACTGGCGCTCCAAGGTGCTGGACAGCTTCGTGCCCCTGCTGGGGTCCTCGGGGGAGCTGGGGGTCTCCATCGGGGGAGGGGCAGACTACGGAGAGTTCCCGTTCGTCACCTCGGCGCCCGGTGGAGGACTCACGGTGGGAAACGTCATCCTGGAGATCGGGGGCACGCCGGTGTTGGGGATGACGTTAGGAGATGTCCGTGGGGTCATAAACTCCTGCCCTCATCCAATCAGGATCAAGACCGTCGCTCCAGGTATTAGGAATCACTTGCATCCTTTACTCAGTGCAGGAAAGCAACTAAGTATGTTTAGTTAAAGAGTCCTCTCCTGCTGATGTTCAGGTGTATATCAGTATGTAGTGTCTCTACTTTAAAGAGTCCTCTCCTGCTATTGTTCAGGTGTATATCAAGTGTCTCTACTTTAAAGAGTCCTCTCCTGCTGATGTTCAGGTGTATATCAGTATGTAGTGTCTCTACTTTAAAGAGTCCTCTCCTGCTGATGTTCAGGTGTATATCAGTATGTAGTGTCTCTACTTTAAAGAGTCCTCTCCTGCTGATGTTCAGGTGTATATCAGTATGTAGTGTCTCTACTTTAAAGAGTCCTCTCCTGCTGATGTTCAGGTGTATATCAGTATGTAGTGTCTCTACTTTAAAGAGTCCTCTCCTGCTGATGTTCAGGTGTATATCAGTATGTAGTGTCTCTACTTTAAAGAGTCCTCTCCTGCTGATGTTCAGGTGTATATCAGTATGTAGTGTCTCTACTTTAAAGAGTCCTCTCCTGCTGATGTTCAGGTGTATATCAGTATGTATTGTCTCTACTTTAAAGAGTCCTCTCCTGCTAATGTTCAGGTTCATATCAGTATGTAGTGTCTGTACTTTAAAGAGTCCTCTCCTGCTGATGTTCAGGTGTATATCAGTATGTAGTGTCTCTACTTTAAAGAGTCCTCTCCTGCTATTGTTCAGGTGTATATCAAGTGTCTCTACTTTAAAGAGTCCTCTCCTGCTGATGTTCAGGTGTATATCAGTATGTAGTGTCTCTACTTTAAAGAGTCCTCTCCTGCTGATGTTCAGGTGTATATCAGTATGTAGTGTCTCTACTTTAAAGAGTCCTCTCCTGCTGATGTTCAGGTGTATATCAATCAATCAATATATACAAAATAACAAAATAACAGTCACTTCAAATGTTAGGGAATGTACATAGTGCAAGATTGTCCATAGCAGCGTAAAAATTATAGATAATAGTTGGTGAACAACAGGTAAAAGATTAAAAAGTGAAACCAAAACATCCGTCAAGAAACCAATTCATGCATCCGGTGCTGAAATGCTAACTCATTTCCTGGTTTTAGGACTCATTCCTGCAGCACCATTACAGACCAACACAACTCAAAGGAGGCAGCGCTGCAGTGACACTATGAAGTCGTGAGGAAGTAATATTCCCTGCAGCCTGTGTGTATTCTGATGCTGATTTGCACTCGTCAATTAGTGTGCATGAGTCAAGGCGACGGGTCGATATGTGTGTAGGACGTCAGGATTTCTGATGACACATGACAAGAGTGTGGCGATACAGATGTCTGTCACCCGCCAGAGGCCTTGATGTTTAGTACGAGGGGGGTGGGGGGGTTAACGGATGTGTTTGTTGGCTCCGAACAGAGCAATATGTCAGCCGGCTGTCACCTGACCGCCACTCCCAATGGCCTTGCTTGCCAGATTGATAGCTGATTTGGCCACGGAGGTGTAAATGTGGACCTTTGCTCCCAGTCCCTCCACTGCTGCTGGATCTATTATCAGATATATACCCCCCCCACAGGCTGCAGGTAGTGTGGACAGTGATGGATGATCTGATGCACTGCGTTGCTGTATCACACCTCCTCCTACTCCTGCTGCTCCATCCTCTCAAACACAGGACACCAGGCTGCTCTCCCCACAGGCAGCCAGCAGTTTAAAGGTTTTAGCGTTAATACACTTTCCTTCAGTGTGTTGCTATAGAGCGCTGCAGGGATGACCTCTTTTTTCTTGGCCACCCGGAATTAGCACCACCCTCGTTCCCTCTACAAAAAGCCAATAAGATTATTGCAGAAAATAATCTCTGTGGTAAACAAACGTTTATGATACTTGCACATGTCTTCAGCAGGATGATCTCCACATGTTAACACCACTTTATGATTTTTGAAGCGTAAATGCAATCTCCAGAAAGAAATAGCTAACATTAGGCTATAAAGGAACAACACAGTCTCACGGCATTTCGTGTTATAGTCACGAAATTAATCTATTGATTCGTGTTCACCAACACGATTTCGCCATTTCTTTCGTGTCACACAGAACGATTTTAAAAGCAATGTAAATAATAACAAATTAGAAGGAAAAAGAGATTTAAAAAAATACAGATTTAAGTATTCTGACACAGAACGATTTTAGAAGCAATGTATATATATTGGTCATATGTTTCGTGCCTGCACCAAATAATAACAAATTAGAAGGAAAAAAAGATGACATAAAATACAGATGTCAGTATTCTGAGGCTCTGAGCCATTTCTTTTCCTCACTGACGGCAAAAAAACTCAGACATTATACAATTTAAAATAAAAGGGATAGGGTTAGGCTTAGGGTAAGATATTGAGTAAGAACATGTTTTTATGAACCACACAGCTTCTGGTCTTCCAAGACCCGACCGGACAAAAAGACGTGTTGCAGGCACGAAACATACTACCAATAGAAATACATTGCATTTAAAATCGTTCTGTGTGACACGAAAAAAATGTGAATATCGTGTTGGTGAACACGAATCAATAGATTAAATTAATTTCGTGACTAATAACACGAAATGCTGTGAGACTGTGTTGAAAGGAACTATAGCACGGTCACATGACTTCACGTCACCACCGCTAAGCTAAAGGCGGCTAATGTTGGGCTATAAAGGAACTACAGCACGGTCACATGACTTCACGTCACCACCGCTAAGCTAAAGGTGGCTAATGTTGGCTATAAAGGAACTACAGCACGGTCACATGACTTCACGTCACCACCGCTAAGCTAAAGGCGGCTAATGTTGGGCTAAGGAACTACAGCACGGTCACATGACTTCACGTCACCACCGCTAAGCTAAAGGTGGCTAATGTTGGGCGTGATGACGTTTAGTCGCCTCATTTAGACACTTGTTAGCAACCGCCATTTTTAAATTCACCAGTGGGGTATTTACTGACTAAATTTATGTCAGCTTGTGTTAACCACAGACTTGTACGACTAATTCCCGCACCACACTATTGACCTTGACATCTGACTGCCTTGCTTTAACAGTAGACTATATATATTTATTTGATCAGCTAGTCACATTGAGATTAATACCTCTTTTACAAGGGGGACCTTGTCAACACAGGGTCAAATACCAAAACACATCCAACACATGACAGGACAATAACATAATTGAAGCAACTGCAGCTAGCAGTGACCATTTCAATTATTCTTAGTTCAATATCATTTGAGAATCCACAATTCGTTCGAGGGTTATGTGTTGATTTAGTCTTGTTTATTTTGATGATCGATGCCTTTCTTGTGGTGCGAAAGCTCAGAATAATCAACCTCTTTTCAGAAATAATTAAGTAAATGTTTCACTATTCATTATTTATGTTCTGTGTGAACATATTGATTTATTTGAATGACATATTTAAACAACAAGGCAATTCAAAGTGGTTTACAAAAGACATTAAAAGAAAACCATGATTAAATTACATTTGAATGCAATTAAAAACAGGCATTAAAGAGCCAAGAGAATAGAATAAAAACCAGCTAAAACAAAATAAGACCGTAATAAAATGCAAGATTAAATAGAAACAAATATAAAAAAAATATTTAAATATAAGAAGTTAGAGTAATAATGCAAAATGTAAAAGTTAAAGGGGACCTATCATGCAAAATGCACTTTTGTACGTCTTTTATACATGAATATGTGTCCCCGGTGTTCCAGGGAACTCACCAAGTGTCAGAAAACACAACCCTCTCTCTTTTCCTCCATACCCAAATCTCTAAAAAAGGGGCTGCAACGGATCTGATAAAAGATTTGAACACTGTCCTGACGCCAGGACGGTGGCGCTACGGCTATTGGGCCAACTCTCCACCTATCAGGGGAATGTGGGGTTGGGCCACGGCCGGCCATTGCCTCTCGAAAGCGCTGGTGACGCTCATATGCCAGGCCTGTAAGTGGTGCTGTAGTCTGCCACAAAAGCAGCGAAGAAGACTTCCTGCGCATGGTTACCATGGTTACCCTTCTGTTTATTCTCCGCTGTGGCTTTTTTTCTCCCTCCCCGAGGCAAGCGTTTGTTCCTGCTGCTTTAATTCAATGCAATCCCTCCCCGTCGAGGCAAGCACTGTAATTCTCTCCGGTTAGTCCACCAGCAGATGACAAACACCCACCTCTCCGCCTCTTCCAAGGAACGAGGGGACCGTGCGGCAGAGTTTCAGTTAGGTTTTCTTTCGCCGGTCAAGATGTCCGTTAAAGTTTAAATCTTCCGGACAAAATTAGAAAAGTGCCGGTCAAAGGTCTTCTTTGTTATTTATTGAGCTTTAAAACAAATGAATAACGACTCTTTATAATAATAGGCTATAATAAAACACGGAGGACGGAGATCTATTTTTCTCCCCCTCTTCTGACTTGATCAGAGCGGCTCCCCTCTCCTGCAGGGGGGGCGTGGTCAGCTGCAGCTCACAGAATCAGCCCCCTGCAAAAACAGGGCTGGAGAACAGCAAATAGAGCGAAATGAGGCATGGCTTAAAATGCATGATCTGTTTGGTATTTTGAAAACAGAAACGTATAAATATACCTTATATAGGTATGGCCCTACAATATATCATTTAAATATAGCATGACAGGTCCACTTTAAAATAAATTCGAATAAAGATATTTATACAAAAATGGCCAATAACAGATACATCAACAATTCCGTAGAATAAAAATATCTATACAGATGCACATTGTACTTCAATATATAACATGTATTACAAAATATCCAATGGTGTGTTATTATAAATAAGATATTCATGCTGAATTGCACATAACTGAATCACAGTTTTGTGGACCACGATATTTCTTGGGATCTTTTTCTTGTGACATTTTTCCAATTTCGTCCCATGCCTAATCCCAGCGTAGTCCTCTCATCCCAGAGAGATGAAGCTGAGATATGAATTTAGCTCTTCATCAGACTGGAAACCAGCAGCTGTTTCATAACGTGATGAACAAAAGCTCATCATCTCAACTAAAAGGCCGTCGAGATTCATTTCCCTTTACTGGCAGACGCCACATGTGGCTGCGCAGATGACTGCCTGCAGTAATAAAGTTAAATCCACTGTGACATGGTTAATAGGGAATACAGTCCGCTGTGTGTGTGTGTGTGTGTGTGTATGTGTGTGTGTGTGTGGGTGGGTGGGTGGGTGGACGTGTGTGGTCGTCTGTCAGAGTGACAAGCTGGAGCCGCTTTCAGTCAATCCATAACGGCAAGTGACCTGTCATCAGAGGCCGTAAAGCACTCGAGATGATATTAAGAGATCAGAGAGAGGAAGTAGAGACACGATGGTGATGAAGACACTCCAGGGGGATAGGGAGAAAAAAAAAATAACTACTAGATATCATCATGAATCTTCTGCAGCTGATTACTTATATCAAAATAATAGTTTTTTGTATTACAAATGATCTGAAATGCTTTGTTAAATATGCAAATGAGGCATTATCTTAGTAAATATGTGCCAACTTGCATAGATTTCCTAGGCAGAAATGTGAACATTAGATAAAGCCAGATTCAACATACTTGTTTCATTTTGTTGAAGTATTAAGGTCACAGGTTTTAACAACAGTGATAGATATCTCTTTTTATCACACCATTAATCAGAAAATACTGCCATAAAAAGTCATTTTTCTGCATGTTTTTAGTACTAAAGTCTGTATAAATGAGTCAGTGTATGGTGTGTGTGTTCGTAAAAAGCTTCAGAATATAGAGGGCAATGAAAGTGGACAGTTTGATTTGTAAGAGCTATTGAAGAGATTTCAGTAGGAGGAGAAAACGGCCATGTATGGTCAAATTCACACATGTTGTTACTACTACAGGTGAATAGGGTCAAAACATTTTACTAACAGATATCACTATGAAATTCCTTCACTTCATTACTGACATTAAAATGTAATTTTTTGATATTACAAGTTCCCTGAAATGTTATGTATAAATATGCATATGGAGTATTATGTAATGCAAACTTGGTGGATTTAGGATACATTTACAGACACACATTTAGTAAAATAAACTCCTATATGTGGAATTTGAATATTTTCTTCGAATGTTTGAAAGAAGAAATGTTATAGAAGCAAAATAGCCTAAAATCTCTGCCTGACTGGTTGTTATAGAGTCTGTAAAAACACATTTAATACTCAGGATGTATGTGAGGTGATTTAGAGAGATCAGTGGGTGTGAATGTGAAAGTCTAGATTGTTAAAGTGTTAAATCAAGTCTGTCAGCAGCAGAGATCTAAATTAATTTAAGTCTCTATTTGACAGGCTTCACACAGTGGATATACATGCATTAGTGTTTGTGCTTACTGAGCTGATTTCTTAATGTCTCCCCCCCTCTCTCTCTCTCCCTCTCTCTCCCCCTCTCTCTCCCCCTCTCTCCGCCCTCCTGTACATTTGCCCTTCCCTCAGGCTCCTCACTGTGCAAGGATCTCAGGTTGTATCTGAGCAAGTGTTTCACTCCCGGCTCGGTGGACAGCCAGCTCCAGCAGGTCATCAGAGAGAACCTGTACCTGCGAGCGGTTCCCTGTGAGTCCCTGCTGCTCTCTATACCTTCATTACACTTCATGTCTCTGTGGAGCTCAACAGTGAGTGGGGGGAAGAGAAAATACCTGTAAATACTATGTAGAAGATTTGGATAATTAGCAATAATGTCATAGCAATTTTCATACACACGATTCAGCTCAAAGTTCTTTAAAGGGACCATATTCTGCTCATTTTCAGGTTTATAACAGTATGTAGTGTCTCTACTTTAAAGAGTCCTCTCCTGCTGATGTTCAGGTGTATATCAGTATGTAGTGTCTCTACTTTAAAGAGTCCTCTCCTGCTGATGATCAGGTGTATATCAGTATGTAGTGTCTCTACTTTAAAGAGTCCTCTCCTGCTGATGTTCAGGTGTATATCAGTATGTAGTGTCTCTACTTTAAAGAGTCCTCTCCTGCTGATGTTCAGGTGTATATCAGTGTGTAGTGTCTCTACTTTAAAGAGTCCTCTCCTGCTGATGTTCAGGTGTATATCAGTATGTAGTGTCTCTACTTTAAAGAGTCCTCTCCTGCTGATGTTCAGGTGTATATCAGTATGTAGTGTCTCTACTTTAAAGAGTCCTCTCCTGCTGATGTTCAGGTGTATATCAGTAGTGTCTCTACTTTAAAGAGTCCTCTCCTGCTGATGTTCAGGTGTATATCAGTATGTAGTGTCTCTACTTTAAAGAGTCCTCTCCTGCTGATGTTCAGGTGTATATCAGTATGTAGTGTCTCTACTTTAAAGAGTCTTCTCCTGCTGATGTTCAGATATATATCAGTATGTAGTGTCTCTACTTTAAAGAGTCCTCTCCTGCTGATGTTCAGGTGTATATCAGTGTGTAGTGTCTCTACTTTAAAGAGTCCCCTCCTGCTGATGTTCAGGTGTATATCAGTATGTAGTGTCTCTACTTTAAAGAGTCCTCTCCTGCTGATGTTCAGGTGTATATCAGTATGTAGTGTCTCTACTTTAAAGAGTCCTCTCCTGCTGATGTTCAGATATATATCAGTATGTAGTGTCTCTACTTTAAAGAGTCCTCTCCTGCTGATGTTCAGGTGTATATCAGTGTGTAGTGTCTCTACTTTAAAGAGTCCCCTCCTGCTGATGTTCAGGTGTATATCAGTATGTAGTGTCTCTACTTTAAAGAGTCCTCTCCTGCTGATGTTCAGGTGTATATCAGTGTGTGGTGTCTCTACTTTAAAGAGTCCCCTCCTGCTGATGTTCAGGTGTATATCAGTATGTAGTGTCTCTACTTTAAAGAGTCCTCTCCTGCTGATGTTCAGGTGTATATTAGTATGTAGTGTCTCTACTTTAAAGAGTCCTCTCCTGCTGATGTTCAGGTGTATATCAGTATGTAGTGTCTCTACTTTAAAGAGTCCTCTCCTGCTGATGTTCAGGTGTATATCAGTATGTAGTGTCTCTACTTTAAAGAGTCCTCTCCTGCTGATGTTCAGGTGTATATCAGTATGTAGTGTCTCTACTTTAAAGAGTCCTTTCCTGCTGATGTTCAGGTGCATATCAGTGTGTAGTGTCTCTACTTTAAAGAGTCCTCTCCTGCTGATGTTCAGGTGTATATCAGTATGTAGTGTCTCTACTGTGACATGTCTCCATGCTTCCAGTCTGCTCTGATTGGTCAGCTGGCCGGCTCTGGTGTGATTGGTCAACCGCTTAGAGACGGCCATTTACATGCACAAAACCTATAGAACACACTTTGCTATAAAGTAAATGTCCACCGTCCCCATGATATCAAGCCACCCAGGAATACCTCTCTTAAGTTACGGCCCACGTTAATTATTTCACAACACGTCTCATGTTTTCCTCCATGTGATTAACTCGGTGTTAATTGGCTGTCAAGCATAAAGGACCGTCTCCAACACTTCCTCGTGTAAGTGTATGCAAGCAAAACCGAGGTGATTTTGTGAAATAATGAGAAAAACAACACACATTACTCCTCCCACAGGAACGTTTGAGCGTCAGAAAATTCATTTCCTGCAGTCTGGTCTTCATGCTCCACATTATGATGGAAATGTGTGATCACCACACACTCCTGTCATTAGCTCCTGTCACTCTCCATTGACGTTTAGGGGCAAGGTGTTCGCTTATTTTGCTACCTGATATCAAATCGATATAAATGGGTGCTCGGCTTTCTCTCTGTGCTTCCCCATGGCACATATTCCCAAATTGTATCTATAGTAATAGCGTGAGGACACTTTGCACTTTGAGTGGTTGCCAACATTTTGTTTAAAAAAAAACGGTATTAATTCTCAGAAATGATTTATGCAACAAGACAACATGTTGAGATTCTCAGTCATATATACAAAATGCTGGCCTTCTAAGCCTCAAACATGGAACTGTAAAGAGATCTGGATATACAATAGGATGTGAGACGCCTTTCATCACTATGGAAGTTGCTCAGTGTTTTGCATGAAGCCAAAATGACTCGACTACAGTTTGATAAAATGACTCGTCCCATCCGAATATCTTCTGAATATATAGAGCAAGCACCCTAGCTTTTAATTTAGAGCCGCCTCCCAGCGCTCTGTCTCAGGCTCATTTACATAAACAGAAGAAGAAAAATATGTCATAATTCAGCGACGAGTGCATGTAAGTGGATTTACCTCCAAAAGCAAAATATCCACTGATTTACAGACGTCTCTTTCTCTTTCTGAATGTGAGTCTTTGGGGGAAAGGTCTTATCTCGCCCTGAAGTTGTTATGCTTTGCAGAAAATATGGGTCGTGTCTGGAAGCTAACCCAAGGTTGGTGAAATTCTTGCAACAACAAAGTTAGAAAATGTTCCTTGAATGGGTAAGATTAGGAAAAGTTCACACAGTATTTCTCTGGTTCTTCTGGGCTTTGACTCAAATCATGCTACTTCCAGTTGATCATATGAGTTTGTATTTATGCTATTGAACAAGGACCATGTCTAAAAATGCATTCATCTCAAAAAGAGAAGAGACTATTTAAGCCAGATTTGAGCTGGTAGTTAATTTCCATCAGCAGTCTTTGGGCCGAAACACATCTGACAATCATCAAAACCTAAAAACATGACTTATTGTCATTGACACTCATTTTATAAAACAGATCAAAGTACAGAGCTATTCAATTTAAGTACCAGCACATTTTCTCAGTCGACTATAATATTACAGCTCACTTATTGGACGTGACTTGAGTCATTTCCAAATTTCGAGGGGACAATGTAGAGCAGGGGTGTCAAACTCAAGGCCCGGGGGCCAAATCCGGCGCGCCACTTCATTTTATGTGGCCCCACAAGAGCTTGCAAAGAATATAATAAGTGTATTATAATGTTACGTGCCGCTTTACAGGAGAAACGTTGCCCATAAACTACATGTCCCACAATGCATCTCATTTTGTGACATGCGCAATGAAGAGACTTGCAATGATTTGCCCAAGACTTCTGCTTTCAGACGTAGTTAATTATGAAGTTATTACCCTATCCGATAATAATCCAATGCAGAGGAAATATTGTAAAATTATATATATATACATTATTTTATATTTATTATGTATATTTATATAGTCTTAAAGTTACCACCGGCCCTTTGAGTGCAACCATAATTCTAATGTGGCCCGCGATGAAATTGAGTTTGACACCCCTGATGTAGAATAAAACCTGGGGTCATGACTAAAAGGAGTATTATAACTAACATATGATGATTCCCTGATGAGAACAATGTATTTAAATTGGAAGTAGAGTCAGCTAAAAGCACACAAAAGGATTTCTGATGATTATATTTCATTATGTAAAGATTACAGCCAGGCTAAAATCCTCACTTCTTTCCCCTCAGTGTTCGAGGTAGTTTGTGTTTCGGTTTCCCATGATGTAACTTCCCATGTGACGCCTGTGGAGCACAATGGCAGCCAAAGGCAGCTAGTTGCATCTGTTGCTCTCTTAATCCTCTGGAGCGTGACGTCACAGCTGCTGAATCCTCTCGCTCTGAGCAGAGATTTCTCAGAAAGATCTGTGTGTCTGACGTGGTTCACTGACCCGCGTCGGTCTGTTTCTCTTATGGTTCCGTCTGGTTCAGGTGGTATCACGGAGGAGACGGACCACCTCGTGTGTCCGCTGTCTTCACCTTGCTGTGGCAGTTTGGGATCGCTGCTAATCTCTCCTTTAGTGCAGGAAATAGGTCATGTGGGACAGTCTGCCTCACACACACACACACACACACACACACACACCACACACACACACACACACACACACACACACACACACCACACACACACACACACACACACACACACACACACACACACACACACTGACAGAACAGGTCAAAACTCCCCGGAGAAGATAACCTAATATATTCATGCATATTCATATTGTGCTATAATTGCATTTTAATTCAAATCAAGCGTTCTCATTACTTAACCGTGCATCTGCAAGCTGCTGCTCATTTAAGGGGTTGGCATAAATAAAGGCTTTTAGATATGTGTGGAGTAAATTGAAGAGCAAGAGGTTTGATTTAAAAAGGACATACACATTTGAGATAAATCAGAAAATAGTTATTTGTAAAGTGTTCTGAATACACTGTGTTTAATCAGAATCAGAATACTTCATTTGTTCCCAGGGGAAGTTGGATTGCATAACAAGAAATTCAAAATAGAACAAAATAAATAAATGAAATTAAGTTAAATTAAAAAAGTACAATTTAATAAAAGAATATTAAAAAAATATAATTAAATGTAATAAAATAAAATATAGTTAAAGTCAAATAGTATAAAATGCTAATTGTATTATTATTGCTTGAAATGTGGTATAAAACATTAATAATGCCATAGCAGTATGAGTATTGCACAGTTGGATCATTTACCAGCCAACAGGTGTACTCATTATTGCACAATATTATAATAGTCCACCGAAATTCCAGCGTTTTCTTGACGGTGGTGTCAAACTTTTGGAAACAAGCTTCCCGTATTTCTTTGGTGAGAGTGAGTGACGACTGAGCCGGCTGTAATCCTCTGATCTGCAGGAGTCAGTAAGAT